CTGCTGGCGGCGGCTCAAGACACTTTACGAAGGTGGATTGATTGAGGGACACACGATCAGGCTGGACCCGGCACGCCTTGGTCTCAACCTCACCGTCTTTGTCATGATCCGAACAAGACATCACTCCAAGGACTGGCTCGCGACATTCCGGAAGGAAGTCTCGGCCATTCCCAACGTAATAGATTTTTACCGGATTGCTGGCGATTACGACTACATGCTGAAAGTCGTGGCCGAGGACATGAATGCCTTTGATCGCGTTTATCAGCGGCTGATCGAAAAAGTCGATCTGGACACAGTCACCTCCTACATGACCATGGAGGCGATCGCGGACGCCCGCGATCTGCCGATTTAGCGAAGCGGTGAAGTGGTGTTGGCACCTCTGTCACATTGCCTGACACCGCACGACCTTAACGCCTGCGGTGACCACCACCCCTGCGCTGCCCACCGCCGCCGCCGCCACGATTCGGCCGTGCCTGTTGTGGCCGGGCCTGCTGTGGACGGTTTCGCTGGACATTCCGCTGACGGTTGACCTGCCGGTTTCCAGAGGTCCGGGCCTTCCGGTCCCTGTTCAGGTGCGCCGGCGCCTGTCTTGTCTGCTGGGCTGGACGTGTCGCCGGTCTTTGCGTATTCGGGCGCTGCGCAGCTGGCCTTTGTGCCGGTTTTTGTGCATTCGGCCGTTGCGCAGCCGGCAAGTTGGTCGGACGTTCGCCCGCTGGACGGTTCACATTGGGGCGCTGGCCTGCCGGGCGATTTTGCGGGCGCTGCAAATTGCCCTGCCCGGCATTCGGCCGGTTCTGCAGGCGATCGCCTGCCGGACGGTTGGCAATCGCTGCTCCGGCGCCGGCTCCAATTGCCGCGCCGGCACCAACATCTCCCAGACGGTTTTGAATGTTCTCCCTCGACGGCGCTGCAACTTCACCCCAGCGCCCGCCTTCGAACTTCTGCCAGTTCTCGCCATCACGCCGGTAGACCGACCCGTCACGCCCTGCAAATACGTCACCCCTGCGGTCGAGACTGCCGACACGGCCGAGATTGCCGTCTTCTTTCCACCTCTTGGCGGCTCCTGCCTGTATATCCCGCGTGCGCGACCATTGTGGTCCGGACACCACCGCTCCCCCCCAGGAGCCATAGATACCGCGCGCGCCACCGGCGACGATCCGGTTGCCGGTGCGGGGATTATAGGCGGTGATGAAGCCGGCGCTGCCGCGCGGACCGCTGATAGCCGCTCCACGGATGTATCCGCCGGTGCGGGGATTGTAGATGCCGCCACCCGCGATGCCGCGCCGGGGTCCGTAGGCATATCCGTAGCGGCCGTAGACGCCGCGAACAGGGTTGTAGAAAGCCCCGATGCCGTAGGTAACCGGGCGCCGGAAATAGATCGGCCGGTAACCCGGGCGGTACCACGGCCGGTAATACCAGCCCGTGCCGTAGACAAAGACACCCCAGGCAAGGAAACCGGTCAGGTATCCCATCGTGTAGCCGTACCAGACGGCATTCGGTTCACTCTCGTAAACCCGGACATACGTCACGTTGTAGACCGGTGAAGACGGCGGGATGGTGTAGATCTCATCCGGAACGGCGGTCGCGACAACAAAGGGTCCTTCCGGGCTGTCGCCCACGAACCAGACACCGTCCTGAAGAACATAGTACTTGGCGCCGACCTGGATGACCTGGTCATTGGTGTTGACCGCATAAGACATGGATGTGCCGTCGATCGACTGGAATTCCGGGTCTCCTGCATACGCAATATCTGCACTGACAGAACCGACTTCCACGCGTGCCGTCGTCGGAATGCTCGCCTTTAAGCGCGCCTGCGAGGCTTCAGATGTTCCCGGAATGGAAGACCGAACCGAGTAGTAGGGCGCATTTTCGGGAATATTCTGGAAATCGGACGGCATGTCAGGTGTCGTGAATTCCCAGGGCCCGTCCAGTGAAGCCGATTTGAACCAGCGTCCCGAAACCAGAATGTACCAGGTCGAAGTTGTTTTCAGGAAAAACACGTCGCTGTCCGTGTTCGATGCCCATTCGAGATCGGTACCTTCGACCGGTTCCAGTTTCGGCTCCCCTTCAAAAACAATCATTTCGGCCGGTTTGTCGGAATAGATCACCTTGGGCGCCGTGTTGTCTGCAAACGCCTGCGGCGGAATGGCTGCACGGGTTTCCGACCAGTTGTCGTCATCGGGAAGTTTCGTGATCAGGTCCGGTAATTCGGACACGATTTCCCAGCCGGCGGAAACATCCTTGGTCTTCAGCCAGGACTTCTCGTCTCGCAGGTAAAATTCCTCGGTTTCGTCAATCTTGAGTATGTCCCAGTTGGTATTGACGACGAAACTCAGCCCCTGATCACCCTTGACCGGTGCCATGATGGGCGCACCCTCGGTCTGAACCAGGATAGCAGGCTCGGTCGAAATGAATATGGGCGGTGCTTCAGCATTCAATCCCTTCACGTCTTCCATGCGCTTGTATTCCGCCAGACCGGCCGTGATCCTGTCCTCTTTCACGGTAATCGTTCCCGTCGGCATGATCTTTCCGACTTGAAGCGTCAGATCCGTCAGGGAGGTCCTGTCGAGTGAAGAGAAATCCAGCTGCGTGACCTGTATGTCGCTGACCTCGACTTCACCCTGTGCCGGATCGGCGAGCGTGCTCCCGCTGACACCGATCACGCCAAATACCGGCTGAGCTTCCTTGTCCTTGACATATTCGGCGGCAATCAGCGCCTTGAGCGTCTTGAAGTTGTCCCACTCGGTAAATTGCGGCTGGTAGAGGATCAGGGTCGCACCGCCGTCGGTTTCAAAAGACCGCGGCCATCCCGTCGTCTGCTCCGCTTCAGACAGTTGAAGATACTGACCGCTAATAAAACCGTTTTGACCATTGAAACTCACGGAGCACCAGGCACCGGTGTCGTCGCAGTTCTCCAGTTCAACCTGGGATCCGTTCGGCACGGTCCCGAGCGACCCAAAGCCGGTTCCAGGTCCCTGCCGGAAATTCACATTTGCCGTCGTCACCGCTGGTGCGGCGAACGCGCCGTTCACGAATACGGTTTGAATGATCAATGCTGAAGACAAAATCACGGAAATAGTCTTGCGCATCAGGCCCTCCCAAAGGCGGAAAATGCATTTGTTTACAACACCGGCTGCGCCCTTTGACCACATGGCCAGATTTTGCAACCCAACAACCGGAGCACGAACTTGCGCCGCACATTTTCAGTGTGCCCAGCGTCACAGGCATAGAAAACGACGCCGCGTTAGTTCTGTCCTCACAGCACCATGACACAGATTTTGTAGAGCTGTAAGGCCCGGAGGTTTTGACAATGTTTCCACTTAGTCGCGCGATGAGAGTTTGCTTGAGCGGTGCGGGTTTTGCCCTGTTTGCAGCCCTCTTTGTACCGTCTTCCGCGTCGGCGGAAGTTTTTCACTGCGAAAGCACGCGCACGCCGAACGGTAGCTCGAAATACTGTAATTTCCTGCTTTTCGATTCGAATTTCAGCCGCCATCGTCAGGTAGTTGTTGCCCAGGGAGCCCGGCGAAACATCGCAATAAACGGACGCTACGACGTCTTCTGCGTGCTCGTGCAAGACCACAGCGGCGTGCCCAACAACATTGCGCTGAGGACGAAGCAATGCCGAAAGTCGCACAGCGGTCGGAATTACCAGGTCGCGATAAAAAAATACAATTTGCGCCGGGGACGCGACGGCTTCAGCACCAATGCACCTCAGATCGTCCGACCGGTGGATCGCTGGTAGGAAAAAGGCCGGGCGGCATCAGCCGCACCGGCAACAGGATTGCAAGGATTTGGTCTCCCGAGAAGTCGGCAATCGTCTTTCTGCTAAAAACGCCGGATCAGCAGGCAACCGAGGAAAGACCGGGAGAGGACAAGATCACGGCCTGCCCAGAGCGCGCGGATTGTTGGGCCGCGAGCCCCATTTCAACAGCGCGTCTGCCATCTTCCAGACTGACTTCGGGCGTTTCAATTTCGCCGCGCACCAGTGCCAGGAAGCGCTCATGCTGATAGTAGGTCGAACCGTTGTGATCACCGGCGTCCAGAAGTGCCGGATCGACCGGAATATCCAGACTGCGCGGACCTTTCGGACTACGGGGCGACACGACCAGCTGTGCGACTGGAGGATCTCCGAGGTCCTCGGGCCAGAACCGGCCAGGTCCGGGCACAAAGGCCTCGATCTTGCCTTCCGGACCGACCGCGACAACCTCTTCCTGATATTTGGCACCTTCCGCGAACATGCAAAGATCCAGCAAGGCACGGGATCCGTTCTCGAAATCGACAATCACGAAACCATTGTCGAGTATGTCCGGCCGCTCGCCGTCATAAACTTCATCCTTGTGATTGGCATCCTGACCCGCTGACGCCATCACGCGGACAGGTTCCGACTTCATGATCAGACGCATCAGATCGAAGAAATGGCAGCATTTTTCAACAAAAGTGCCGCCTGAATACCGGTTGAACCTGTTCCAGGCGCCCACCTTGTCCAGAAACGGGAACCTGTGCTCGCGGATGGTCAGCATCTTGATGCCGCCCGTGACTTCCCCGGTCCTTGCGATCAGAGCCGCAATCGCGGGCATATAGCGATACTCCATCGCCACCCATATCGGTGCCGGATATGTTGCCTTGAATGTCTCCAGTTCGGCCTGCTCCCTGGGATCGGTAAAGAGCGGCTTTTCCACGAGCAAGGGCAAAGGCCTTTTCTGACGGATTTCCTGCATTTGCGGAACATGGCAATGGTTCGGGCTGGCAATAAGGATGCAGTCCAACTCATCAACGTCCAGCAATTCGGAGACCGAACCCACGAAATTTGCAGCCGGTGCGATTTCCGCTGCCGCTTCAGCCATATGCGTGTCCGGTTCAAAAATGACCGTGACTTCGGTGTCTGGCAGCAGAGCGATATTGCGCAGATGCTCCTGCCCCATCATTCCACATCCGATCACACCGTATCTTACCTTCGCAGGCATTTATGTCTCCTTTTGCGGCCGGTTTCTGCGACCAGCCTATTTCAACCGCTGTACGTAATGTGCCCTGCCCGTGTCGAACCAGGTGCGTGAATATTCGACGGATTCGGGGCGGTCCGCCCAACTGAACCTTTCGATGAAACCCGTGAGCGTGCCGGGTTCCAGGGTGAATTCTTCCGGCGCCCAGTCAGGCACCTTGCCGATCGTAACGCGGTCTTCCGCACGCACGATCCAAAAGCCGAGATGCTTTTGATAGAACCTGTAGAGCGAGTCCGAAAGCAGGTCCCGTTTTACAAATCCGGCATCTCCGTCAAGCCAGATTTCCTCGACCGCGATTATGGTCTCGTTGAGATACCGGAGCCGGCGGATCCGGGTGCCTTCCCCGCTGGTGCCGAAAGCCGGCAGATCTTCCGGCTTGCGCGTACGCACAGCGTTCAGGATGTCAGCCCGGGGCAACCCGCCACCGGAAAGCAATTCCAGCCGGAACATCGCATAGATGCTCTCCTGCGTGCCGCCTTGCCGTATGTAGTTTCCCGAACCCTGAATGCGCTCGAGTAAGCCCTTTTCCGTAAGATCGGCAAGCGCCTTGCGCAGTGTTCCGATCGAGATACCCAACTCGTCAGCCATGTCGCGCTCAGGCGGAAGCCGCTCGCCGTCAATCAGGCGTCCCGCCGCAATATCCCTGATCAGAAGCTCACTGATCTGCAGATAAAGCGGCAGTGCATTTGAGGACTGCGACGTGGATTGCATGGTGATCGGCGCTCTGTTTTTTAAAATTGATACACTATTGATTTACATCAATGCGGATGATAAGCAAGAAGAAATCGACGGTAAAGTGAAGCTGTTCGAAATCAAATGAAACCTCGCCCATCGAATGCTCGGTCGCAGATGCTGCGGGTTTGAAAATACTGAATGACTAACAATGGGTTGAGCACATGATCGCTTCGGGAATGGCGCTGGATGCTCAGGGGAGTTTTTTATGACAGTTGTCCCAGTGACATCGCCGGATCTCGACGCAGCGGAAGTATCCTGGTTCGCTGCCTTGTGTTCTGACGACTATCAATTCCTGGGCGTCCCGGAAGGCCAATTGCGCTCATCCTGGGACCATTGCTCGACGATCGTCAAAACGGCGGAACAAGAAGGATTTCGCAATATCCTGTGCCCATCTTCCTACCAGGTGGGTCAGGACACGTTGTCGTTCGTCGCCGGTTGCGCACCGATCACCGACAAGATCAACCTTCTTGCAGCCGTTCGCTGCGGTGAAATGCAGCCGATCATGCTTGCCCGTACGATCGCAACGCTCGACCACATGCTGAAAGGCCGCCTTACGGTCAATATCATTTCCTCTGATTTTCCGGGCGAACAGGCCGACAGCGGCTATCGTTACCAGCGTTCACGCGAGGTCGTCGAAGTCCTGAAACAAGCCTGGACACGAGACGAGATCAACTATGAAGGCGAGATCTACAACTTTACGGGCCTGACCACCGACCCGGTGAGACCGTATCAGACCGGCGGTCCACTCCTCTATTTCGGAGGTTATTCGCCAGCCGCTCTGGAGCTGTGCGGTCAGCACTGCGATGTCTACCTGATGTGGCCCGAGAAGATTGAAGAACTCGAAGGACGCATGAAGGCTGTCAACACGGTCGCGGAAAAATACGACCGGACGCTCGATTATGGTCTGCGTGTCCACATGATCGTGCGCGACACCGAAAAGGAAGCGCAGGAATACGCCGACTACATTGTCTCGAAACTTGACGACGATCAGGGCACGGCCATCCGCGAGCGCGCGCTCGACGCGAAATCGCTCGGCGTGAGCCACCAGGCCAAAAACCGCGATGTTGCCGACGAGTTCGGTTACATCGAACCCAACCTCTGGACTGGCGTCGGCCGGGCCCGCTCCGGTTGCGGGGCTGCTCTTGTCGGCTCGACCGATCAGGTCATGTCCAAGATCGAGGCTTACCAGAAGATGGGCATCAGAGCCTTCATCTTCTCCGGCTATCCGCATCTGGAAGAAGCGCGGCATTTCGGCAAGCGCGTGCTGCCGAACCTCAAGACCTGTTCGCTTCCCCACGCTTATGGCCGGGTTCCGGCCGAAACACCTGCAACCCCGCTTGGCAATGGAGTCCGCCGCTAATGCAGCGCGTATCGCTTACAGAATCCCTGGAATTTTCCCGCCTCATCTACGGCATGTGGCGGCTCGGTGACGATGCGGACACGACCCCGGCCTACGTGGAACGGAAAATCCAGCTGTGTCTCGATCAGGGGATCACCACGTTCGATCAGGCGGATATCTATGGCGGTTACACTGCGGAAGCGGTTCTCGGCGGTGCACTCAAAGCCAATCCTGCCCTGCGCAACAAGATGGAGATCGTCACCAAGTGTGACATCGTCGCTCCCGTCGGTCGCCATGAGCAGGCAACGGTGAAGTATTACGACACCTCCCGGCAGCATATCGAGAGGTCGGTCGAAACGTCGCTGAGCGACATGGGGATCGACACAATAGATCTGCTTCTCATTCACAGACCCGACCCCCTCATGGATCACCATGAGACCGGCGCCGTGCTGGATGACCTGGTCAAGAGCGGCAAGGTCCGGAATGTCGGCGTGTCGAACTTCCGCCCGTGGGACTGGGACCTGTTGCAGTCGGGAATGTCCAACAGGCTCGTGACCAACCAGATCGAGGTCTCGCTGGCTGAAATCTCGCCGTTTACAAACGGAGACATTGCCTTTCACCAGCGCTTGGGCACGAATCTGATGGCCTGGTCCCCGCTTGGGGGCGGGGCACTGATCTCCGAAACCGGCAAGCTTGGCGCGGTCATGGACGACGTAGCTGCCGGCTTCAATGTCGACCGGTCTGCCGTCGCCATCGCGTTCCTGCTTACCCATCCGGCAACCATTCTGCCGGTTCTGGGAACAAACAATCCTGACCGTATCGCACAGATTTCAGATGCACTGAAAGTCTCGCTTGATCGTGAAACCTGGTACCGGCTCTACGAAGCCGCCCTTGGAAATGAGGTACCCTGATGACCATGCAAAATGCCAATCATCCTGTTACCTTCGCACCGCACACGGACAACACCCGTTTGCTGCGCGACGCGTTCGGCCGATTTGCAACCGGCGTGACTGTCGTCACCACCGGATCGGATGACGGGCCGGTCGGCATCACGGCGAACAGCTTTTCGTCCGTATCGCTCGATCCGCCACTCGTGTTGTGGATGCCGGACAAGGGTTCGCGCCGTTTCCGCTACTTCGAAACCGCCGAAAACTACGCCATCCACGTTCTCAGCCATCACCAGGCTGAAGTGTGCAACGGCTTTGTACGCAATGCGAATGCCTTCGACCAGTTGCCGCACAGGATTGACGAAAACGGCGTGCCGTTGCTCGAGCACTGCCTCGCACGCTTCGAGTGCAAACGGTTTGCCGCTTATGAAGGCGGCGATCACCTGATTGTTCTGGGACAGGTCATGCAGGCAGAAATGCGTCATGGGGAGGCGCTGACCTTTTTCGCAGGCAAACTTGGACAAATCGCTCCGAAATGAGAGCAAACGGCAGGACGGGAACCGCCCTGCCGACAGGAAGTAATTAGGGAGGAGCCCGAATGGGGGCATTGCTGGCGGTCCTTGCACCGCTCGCCTTTGTCAATTCGCAGCTATTGCGGATCGGCAGAGCGATAGGCATCGTAGCCGTGGCCTTGATGGTCGTTGCGATCCTGATTCAGGTCGTTTTCCGCTATGTATTCAACAACGCGTTGCCCTGGCCAGACGAGGCAGCGCGTTTTTGCATGTTGTGGATGACGGGCCTGATGGCACCAACGGCGTTCCGTCGCGGCGGCTTCGTCGCCATCGACATGCTTGGCCACGCACTTCCTCAGGCTCTGGGCAAGCTGCTTTCCCTGCTCTTGCTCATCGTGTCGCTCCTCGTCCTTGCGATCGCGGTACAGATCGGCTTTGCCGAAGTCACCGGCTTTGGCGGCAAGTTCGCGACAGCGTCACTCTACATTCCGGGAAATATTACGCTGACCGAATGGATCCGTGTGCCCAGAAGCTGGATGATGATGTCCTTGCTCGTCGGTGTCGTTCTGCTGACCCTCGTCAATGTCGAACTGATCTTGCGCAATCTCATTTCTCTTATTGGCGGCAATGACCGACTGCCGGCCATACCCGATGCTGACATGGCGGGAGCGGACTGATGCTTATATGGTTTCTTCCTGTTTTTCTCCTGTTCCTGATGATCGGACTACCGGTCTTTTTCGGCTTGCTGGCGGCTCCCGGCATCCTGCTTTGGCTGAATGGCCAGGAACGCGACATCACGCTGCTCTACCGTAACGTCTACAACGGCATGGACAGTTTTCCTCTCATGGCGATTCCGTTCTTCATGCTCGCAGGCGAGCTGATGAACAAGGGCGGGATCACGATCCGTCTGGTAGAATTCAGCCAGGCGCTCATGGGCCACCTGCGCGGCGGCCTTGCACATGTGAATATCCTGTCGTCGATGCTGTTTGCCGGTCTTTCCGGTTCGGCAGTCGCCGACACGTCCGCACTTGGCTCCATGCTTATTCCAGCGATGGAAAAACAGGGGTACACGCGCCGATTCGCAGCAGCGGTAACAGCAGCGTCGTCTGTTATCGGTCCTATCATCCCGCCGTCCGGCATCATGATCATCTATGCCTATGTCATGGGCGAAAGTGTTGCCGCCCTCTTCCTGGCCGGTATTGTCCCCGGCGTCATGGTCGGCATCGGCCTGATGCTGGTTGTCCGACTGATGGCTGACAAGTACGATCTGCCCAAGGCCCAGCGGATCGTCAATCCCGGTCAGAAAATGGCGCCGGTCGAATACTGGGTGTCGTTCGCATTGCTCAGGATCAATCTCGCATCGCTCCTGCTGGCGCTTGCATTCGGCATTCTCAGTCAGACCTCTCTGGACGTGTCGGGTATCACGACTTTCGTCCTGTTTGTCGTCCTGATTGGAATGTCGCATCTGCTATTGATGGGTCTGCGCGGCGCAGTGTCTGAAGATTTCCGGATGGTCTGCAAAAAAGCCGTCGTGCCTTTGCAGACACCGATCATCATTCTGGGCGGCATCCTGATCGGTGTCTTCACGCCGACGGAAGCGGCCGCCGTCGCAGTAGCCTATGCGCTGATCATCGGCTTTTTCGTCTTGCACTCCATCAAGGTGAAGGAAGTTCCCGGCATCCTGAACAGGGCTGGCATCACGTCGGCAGTGGTTCTTCTTCTTGTCGGCGCTGCAATGGCCTTCAAGACCGTCGTCAGCCTTAGCCATGCTCCTGAAATCATGGCCGACTTCGTACTTTCGCTTTCCGACAACCCGCTGATCCTGCTGTTCCTGATCAACCTGCTCCTGTTCATTGTCGGAATGTTTCTCGATGCGGGGCCAGCGATCATCATCCTCGGACCGATCCTCGGGCCCATTTTCACATCGATGGGAGTGGATTCGATCCACTTTGCCATCATCATGAGCGTGAACCTGACCATCGGTCTTGCCACGCCGCCAATGGGCCTGGTGCTATTTGTCGCTGCCTCGGTTTCAAAGGAACGGGTTGAAACCATTGCCAAAGCCATTCTGCCGTTTCTGGCGGTAGAAATCGCGGTGATCTTCCTGATCACCTACATACCGGCACTTTCGATGACGATCCCTCGATGGACCGGATTTGCCAACTGATCTTGAGCTTAATATGGGAGGTACCTGATGCTCAAATCTGCTCTGAAAACACTCACCGTCGCGGCGATGCTCGCCGGTTCTTCGCTGAGTGCCGTTGCTGCCGACTATACGCTGCGTGCAACCGCCAATTCCAACGAGAATGACGAAGACTATCATGGTCTCGTTGTTTTCAAGAACTTTGTCGAGTCCGCTTCCAACGGAGCGATCGAGGTCGAACTCTTCATCGGCACACAGCTCTGCTCGAATGGTGCTGAATGCCTGCAGGGCGTTGCCGGTGGTGCGATTGACATCTACATCTCCACATCAGGCGGAGCCTCCGGCATCTTCCCTTATGTTCAGGTTCTCGACCTGCCTTACATGATGGCCGACGACCGGATCGCCGAACATGTCCTGTCCGGCAACTTCACCCGCACCATTCGCAACATGGCGCTGGAAGATAGCGACAACACGATCCGTCTGATGACGGTTGGCAACACCGGCGGCTGGCGGAACTTTGCCAACACAAAGCGCCGTGTCGCCAATCCGGCCGACATGGAAGGCCTGAAGATCCGTACCGTTGTGGCTGACCTGCCGCAGGAACTGGTCAAGGCACTTGGCGCCTCTCCGACGCCAATCCCGTGGCCGGAGCTGTTCACATCATTCCAGACCGGTGTTGTTGAAGGTTCCAAGAACGGCATCACCGACATCATGAGCATGAAGTTCCCCGATGCCGGCCTGCAGTATGTGACGCTCGATGGCCACGCCTACATGGGTGCCCTCTGGTGGATGAGCAACGAACGGTTCCTTGCCATGCCGGAAGACATGCGCCGGGTCGTGGTCGATGGCTTCTATCATCTGCAACAGGCTACCTTTGCATCGCCAAAGCGTGAATCCATCGAAAAATATGAAGAGTTCGTTGCCGGCGGCGGCGATCTTTATGTTCCAACGCCGGAACAGAAAGCCGCTTTCAAGGAAGCAGCCGCACCGGTCTACGACTGGTTCAAGGACAATGTCGCACGCGGCGGCGAGATCTTCGGCGCACTGGAAGAAGCCGTTCAGGAAGCTGAGACCTCCGTCAACGGTGCGCGTGACGCCGACCTGAACTAAGCTGTTCTTCAATCAGACACGTCCGGCCAATTGCCGGACGTGTCAATTTTCGAGTTCGCCTCGACAACTCCGGAAAGACAACAAGCCGATTTTCGGATCCGGGGTTGCAAATGAGCAGGATTTACCGGAACGGGTACATCCAGACCTTGTAGTCATCGACCAGAACATGCGCCTTTTCAATTTCCTCTTTGGTCATTTTCTTCACGACTTCCTCAAGCGAGATCGCCGCATCGGGATCTCCTCCGATGGCGGAAAGCGTGTACCACATGTAAGCGCGAACAAGATCCGGCGCGGGCATTCCCCGGCCGACCTCGTAATACCAGCCGATACCGGATTGCGCGCCCGGATGCCCCTTCATGGCGCTTCTGAGATACCACTCGAAAGCGCGCTGATCGTCCCGCTCCACGCCGAGACCCATTGCATACATGACGCCGATCAGTTCCTCGGCATCCGCGTTGCCGGAACGTGCGGCGGGCCAAAGTTCCTTCCTGGCCTCCTCAAATTGTCCGGCCTCCATCAGATCGCGCGCGTTCTCGATTTCAGCCTGGGCAGGGCCCGCAGCCAGGAAAAGCCCAATCACGGCGGCTTTCAGCATTTTCGTCATTTTTTCCGGTCGTTCTTTCTTGGTGTTCTTCTGGCAGCACCAGCTCATTCCGCGGAGCTGCCCTCCCCGCTGACTGACGATGATTTCATCGCCTTCGACAGGAAACAGGCGGCCCTCGGTCAGCTTCTCTTTTACGACAGGATCCTTTCCGGGAACAGGAATATTGCCTGTTCGACATGTCATCATCCGGTCCTTGGAACAGGAGACGGCCTTTCCCTCGGCATTGGCGAAGGCGGAGAAGGCCTCGGACCGAACCGGACCGCACTTGTCGACGACAACCGAATTAAGAAAAGGATTCCGCGAAATGCGCCAGGCCTCTGGAATCTCGGGGCAAAAGAGCTTCACACGCTTTTCCACGACGGCCGTCTTTCCATTTCCGACGACTATGAAAACGGCTTCAACTCACCGGCGGAGGAATGGCTTCCCGAGGGCCTGAACAGCCTTCTTGCGGCCCAGGCGATTTTTCCGCTTGTTGCCCAGTTCGAAATGGCCGGCAATCCGAAAGAAAACGAGATCGCAGGCGCTGTTCACAACCGGATAGACGCCTCCTGGCCAATCCTTGCCAAGCGGGTTCGCGTCATTCCCGAATACGGCAAGATGTTTGTCGAGGCGTTCGATCACATCGATGAGCCTGGGCAAGTTTCGATTGCCGAGATCGGAAATGCACTTGCAGCCTTCCAGGCGATCGAATGGACGAGTTTTGACAGTCCGTTCGACCAGTATCTTTCCGGCAGGAAGACCGCGCTGACAGATGCGCAAGAGCGCGGCATGGGTCTCTTTTACGGAAAGGGCAATTGCTCCAGCTGCCATTCCGGCAAACTCATGAGTGACCAGGAGTTTCACGCAATCGGCCTGCCCCCTTTCGGACCCGGCCGGACGCGGCGTTTCGATCCAATGGTGCGGGATGTCGGCCGCATGGGCGAAAGCGACAGACTGGAAGATGCCTATCGTTTCCGCACACCGATGCTGCGCAATGTCGAGCTGACATCGCCTTATGGCCACAACGGCGCCTACCCGACGCTCGAAGGTATTGTTCGCCACCATCTCGACCCGGACGGAATGCTGGCAAAATGGCAACCGAAAACAGCTGCACTTCCCGACGCACCGTGGCTGGAACCAATCGATTTCGTGGTCTATAAGGATCAGCGTGAAATGGCCAGGCAGGCCCGGCTTCGGGATGTCGAGCGGATTTCACTTTCCGATCAGGAAGTTTCCGATCTCGTCGCGTTTCTCAAGGCGCTCACCGGTACGTCTTCGGTTTCTTCTCCTTCCTTCGGCATCCCCGATAGAGTTCCCAGCGGGCTTCCAGTCGACAGACCCTAAACAGGACAAACATGATCGAAACTTTGAAGACCCGGGCAAACCAGCTTTTTCCCGGTATCGCCATCGCCGGGCTTGTGGCCATTTCGGCTCAGTTTCTGAATGAGCACTACGGCGCACCTGCCATGTTGATGGCGATCCTGCTGGGCATGCCTTTGAATTTCCTCTCGGACGAACAGCGTACCTCGGAAGGCATTGCCTTTGCTGCAAGAACACTCCTGCGGGTCGGCGTTGCGCTTCTGGGCGTGCGCATCAGTATCGAGATGGTGCAGGCACTCGGCCTGCCCTTTCTGCTTCTTGTCATCCTCGGTGTTCTGGCGACCATCGTCTTTTCGCTGATGATCGGAAACCTTTTTGGCAAGGACCGGCTCTTCGCCTTCCTTTCCGGCGGCGCGGTCGCCATTTGCGGAGCATCCGCGGCGATGGCGATCGGCTCGATCCTGCCAAAACGACAGCATGCGGAACGAGACCTCGCCTTCACGGTAATCACCGTGACGGTCCTGTCCACACTGGCCATGATCGTCTACCCGATTCTGACGAGCAATCTCGGACTTTCCGTTGATGCCACCAGCGTGTTTCTCGGCGGCACCATTCACGACGTAGCCCAGGTGGTGGGTGCCGGATTTTCCGTGTCCGAAGAAACCGGAGATCTGTCCACGCTTGTAAAACTCATCCGGGTGACCCTGCTGGCGCCCATCGTGCTGATCGCTGCCTTGGTCCTGCGCGGCAGCGCCGAGCCAGGTGCAAGCCGTCCGCCGCTGATGCCTGTCTTCGTACTTGCTTTCCTGATCCTTGCGGCCTTCAATTCCTTCGGCCTGGTTCCGGAAACCGCAAAGGACCTTGCGGGCCAGATTTCCCGTTGGGCGCTGCTTGCCGCGATTGCCGCCGTTGGCATGAAGACCTCGATCCCCAAACTCCTGGAAGTCGGTGGTCCTGCAATCTGGATGGTGGTGTCCCAGACTGTATTCCTGGCACTGTTCGTGCTCGCGGGGATATGGGTGATCGGGTAGGCTATTTCCTCATCGCCCTAACCGCAGCAGAGCGAAGATTTGGGATTGGGAGTGACATAGCCCCTTGAATCAGCTTTCAAGCAAGGCGGTTACTGGATCCCTGCTTTCGCAGGGATGACAAGGGATGTGAGGACATTTGCGCTTCTTGCTTTTCCCAGGCGATTATCTTCCGGACACAGCGGAGCGGAGATCCGGGACCCAGTACACCACAGCGTTTCGGATTTCAGCCGGAGGTCTGCGGTTGTTGGTTCCCAAACGGAGCAAATGCCCGCGAAAACGGGTAAAGGGATGACGAGGGAGCACTTTGCCACTCCCTCACTCAAGACCTGCGTGTCTGGTCTGAACATTGTCAATCGCGCCGGAAACCCCACATTGAGGTCAGAAACCCGAAGCGGGGCTTTCCTTGATCCCTTGAGTGTGAAATATAGCTGCGGTCCCCTTCCCGGGAGCGCATCAGCTATCATGCCGCATATGTTTATGCGTTTTGCTCGTGATACAGAAAATTCGAAAGCGTTTGGATGAAAAGCTACATCACAACCCCGATCTATTACGTCAACGGTTCTCCACATATCGGTCATGCTTTTACGTCCATCATGGCCGATATCCTGAAGCGCAACCGCCAGGCACTGGGTTGTGAACTGATGCTGTCGACGGGCGTGGACGAGCACGGCCAGAAGAACCAGGAAGCCGCGCAGGAACTGGGTATGCCGGTCGAGGAATATCTCGACATGCGCTGTGCGGAGTTTCGCGATGTTTTCGAAAAGCTCGGTGTCGAATTCGACTATTTCGTCCGCACAAGCCGCGAAGGCCACAAGAAAGCCGTCGCGGAGATGGAGCAGCGCATCTTCGACAAGGGACTGATCGTCAAGAAGCAGTATACGGGCACCTACTGCAAGGGCTGCGAGGAGTTCAAGAAGGAGAGCGACCTCACAGAGGACGGACAGTGTCCGCTGCATCCGACCATGCAGGTCGAACAGACGGACGAAACCAATTACTTTTTGAAAATGGAACCGTTCCGTGAACAGCTCCTGAAACACATCGACGACAATCCGGATTTCGTCCAACCCGAGTCGTTCAGGAACGAGCTGAAGAAAATGCTGGCCGAACCGCTGGAGGATCTGTGCATCTCCCGGCCGAAATCCCGTGTGACCCTCGGCGTGGAATTGCCCTTCGACACGGACTTCGTCACCTATGTCTGGTTTGACGCCCTGGCCAACTACCTGACCAATATCGGCTGGCCGGAAGATGGCTACCAGAACTGGTGGGCGGAGTGCGAGCACATGATCGGCAAGGATATCCTCAAGCCGCACGGTGTCTACTGGCCCCTGATGCTGATGGCCGCTGATCTGCCGCTGCCGAAAAAGCTCTCGGTGCACAGCCACTGGGTCGGCGCCGGCGGGGTCAAGATGTCCAAATCCATCGGCAACACAGTCGATCCGATAGAGGTCATGGACAAGCTCGGCGTTGACGCGTTGCGCTGGTATCTCGCCCGCCACATGCGTGCGGACAGCGACAGCCAGATTTCGGTCGAGCTGATTGCGCAGACTTACGAGAGCGAGCTCAACAACAAGCTTGGCAACCTGCTTTCTCGCGGTGCCAAGTTCGCCAGAAAGAACTTCGACGGAAAACTTCCAGTCAAGGGTCCGCTCACGGCAGAAGACGAGGCTTTGCGTCAAACGGTGCTTGATGCGACCGCAGGCATGGGTGAATGGATAGATCTCGCCGACATTCCGGCGCGGATGCAGTCCATCATCAATGCGGCGGCCGAGATGAACAACTATTTCGACAAGCAGGCTCCCTGGACGCTCTTCAAGTCCGAAGAGACCAAGGACCGCGCGCGAGATGTCGTCTATGTCGGTCTCGATTGCCTGCGTATCGTGATGGAAGCGTTGCAGCAGGTGATCCCGGTGTCGGCCGGCAAGGCCCTTGCCACGCTGAACGTCACCGACATTGCCCGTCCTTGGAAACCGGAGCTGGACAGGCTACCGGGCGGCAGTGAACTGGACGAAATCGAGCCGCTTTTTCCGCGGGTTCAGTAAGGCCCCACCCGACAACATGTAAAAGCGCCCCTGCGGGCGCTTTACTTTTTTGATCAAGGCCGATATCCAGCTTCAGTCGCTCAAGACCTTACGCCGCCAGAAACTCCAACCGCTCGTCCAGCCGCGCGGGTGTGATTTCCAGAATTTCGGCACTCACCACGCCTTCGGAAACGAATGGATCTTCTCCGACGAAGGCTTCGATTTCCTCTCGGGTCGTGTTGTGAGCGATGATGCCGCCACCCATGTTCGGCTGCAGGCTGCCAACCATCAGAAACAGGCCCTGATCGAAGCCATCTTTGATCCATGCCTTGTGCCCGTCCATCAGGTCACCGGCACGCGCCTTGTTGTCAGAAAACTTCAGCGTCACGATAAACATTTCATTCTCCCTTGAAACAGAATTGAAGCTCTTTCAGATGCCGGCCAGACCGGGTTGCCGAAGACTGGAACTCGGCGACACCCGTCCGACCCAGTCGAGGATCTGATCCACTTCTCGCCGAACGAAGTCTTCATCCCTGAAAGCCTGCGCCAGTGTTGCAACCCCCTGGCTCCAGCTGAGGACATGAAGCGCCTGAGCCTCGGCGTCAGCTTCGCTGTCAAGTTCCGAAAACTGGCGGGTCAGCCAGTCGCGGAACAATCCCATGATGCGGTTGGCGTTGCCGCTGGAGGCGTGCTCAAGCTTGGCAAGTTCCATCGTCAGCGTCCCGACAGGGCAGCCATAGGCAAATATTTTCGTCTGATTGACGATGAGTATCCGCACGAAACAGGCAATTCGCTCTGCCGGGTTCCCGGACATCTTGTCCCAGTTTCGCAGCATGTCTTCCCGGTCGGACAAACGCTTTTCGATGACCGCGTCGAGGATCTCATCCTTGGTTTTGAAGTGGTAATAGAAGTTTCCGCGCGAAATGCTGACCGATTTCGCGATATCGGCGAACGAGGTTTCGCCAAATCCCTGCGCGTAAAACAGCTCATCCGCCGCATCAATGATCTGCTGCCTGGTGGAGCTGGATTTCATTTTGATTTTCCCGGCACATTTTTCATGTTTGATGTCACTCTAGGACAATTGACCTATTTTTAGTTAGGACAATTGTCCCAAAATGTCAATCAAGTGCGAGACGAGACCGGCAAAGACCTGTTTGCAACACAATTTAGAGACACCCTGTCTGCACATCTCATGGTTGGTGCGCACAACCCCTCACACGTTTGTGAAGTCAACTTCCCAACAATCCTGACAGGCAGTTGTCAGGAACAATTTCCTACTTTCAGCACCATCAAAAGCCGGATGACTCGTTCTGAAGGCGCGAACTTCTGACTGAAAATCAATGAATTGCGGATTAATTACCATGAAACCGGACGCTATGCTTTTTTTCAATCACCTGGTGACTTTTGTCATCAAACTATTCTTTCACAGCTGCATGGCGCGTTTTTGCACCGGCATGGTGCAAATCCCAACGTTGGAATTCACGATCCGTCACTTACGTAGAGGCCGCTTGGTGGCAGTCACAGGGCCGGCTCGAGGCGTCAAAGCCGTTGCCTGCGTGGAGGGAAACATATGACCTACCTGGATGAGCGGAGCGAACCGTCTTCCGCTTCGGAACTCCTGGATCTATTTTACGCAACACGAACGCAAACGGAAAAGCTAACCGCCCCACTCAATGACGAAGACCTGGGTCTTCAATCCATGGAAGACGCCAGTCCGCCCAAGTGGCACCTGGCGCATACGACCTGGTTCTTCGAGGAATTCATCCTGAAACCGTTCCTGCCCGGTTACCAGCCAAAGGACGACCGTTTCGCAGTTCTCTTCAACTCCTACTATGTTCAGGCCGGCCCTAGACACACGCGCTCACGGCGTGGCCTGTTGTCCCGCCCGACGGTCACGGAAGTCCTTTCCTATCGGGCGCATGTCGAAGATGCATTGCGGGACGGTCTTTCGCGCGGCGGATTCACTCTTGACCCTGACAGGCTGGACGCACTGGTTACACTGGGGTGTCACCATGAAATGCAGCATCAGGAACTTTTGATTACCGACCTCCTGCACGCCCTTTCCTTCAATCCGCTGCTACCGGCCTACATTCCCTCGCAACCCGGCGCCGTTACCGCCATACGAGAGCAAGACTGGACATTGCATGAAGGCGGGCTCGTTGAAATCGGCCATGATGGCGACGGCTTTGCCTATGACTGCGAAGGACCGCGGCACAAGGTCTGGCTGGAACCGTACAAGCTTGCCGACCGCCTGGTAACCAACGGCGACTGGATCGCCTTCATGAATGACGGCGGATATGAAACCCAGACGCTCTGGTTGATGGAAGGCTGGGCGGTTCGCGAAAAGAACGGCTGGGATTCTCCCCTCTACTGGTGGCAACAGGACGGCCAATGGTGGACCTACACGCTGCAAGGTCCGCGTCCCGTTGATCTGTCTGCTCCCGTGGTCCATGTCAGCTATTACGAGGCCGATGCCTTCGCCCGCTGGAGCGGTCGTCGGCTGCCGACAGAAGCGGAATGGGAAGCGGCGGCCGAAGCGACTGAAATCGAAGGTAACTTTCTGGAAAACGGCACACACATACCGCAGGGGCGCCACGCAAGCCTCTGGGGAGATGTCTGGCAGTGGACCAGCAGCGCCTTTTCTCCCTATCCGGGCTTCTCGCCTCCCGATGGCGCCATCGGGGAATACAACGGCAAATTCATGGTGAACCAGATGGTGCTGCGGGGCGGGTCCTGTGCAACCCCGAAGCTTCAGATGCGTTCTTCTTATCGAACCTTTTTCTATCCACAGCAGCGCTGGCAAATGCTGGGGCTCAGACTGGCGGCAGATCAATGACCAAACATGTTCCCCCTGTACGAGCCGACAAAACCTTCAGGTCCGACGTCCTTGCCGGCCTGAAAGCGGCGCGCAAATCCGTCAGCAGCAAATGGCTTTATGATGATGTCGGCTCGCATCTGTTCGAAGCCATAACCGAACTGGACGCCTATTATCCGACCCGAACCGAACTTGGCATCCTGGAGACTGAAATCCGCCAATATTCGCGGCTGCCGGGAGCACGGGGCGCAATGGTCGAACTCGGCAGCGGCTCCAGCCGGAAGACGAACCTGCTTCTCGGCGCCTTTCCAGACCTTTCGGTCTATATGCCGGTCGATATTTCCGCCAACCATCTGAAAGACGCTGCCGAACGCGTTCGGCGGGCCTACCCGTCACTGGCCGTGATCCCGGTCGCGGCCGATTTCACGCAGCCTCTCGGCAAACTGCCTTTGCTGCCCGAACTGCCCGTGCTGGTCTTTTTTCCCGGCTCGACAATCGGCAATTTCGAACGCGCCGAAGCCACGGCTCTTTTGCGGTCTCTCCGCGAGGCCATGCCTGGTGCAACGATGATTGTCGGCGTTGACCGTCCGAAGGAAGAAGAGGTGCTCCTGGAAGCATATGACGACCCTGCCGGAGTGACTGCGGCCTTCAACCTCAATCTCCTGCAACGGATAAACCGGGAATGCGGGGCAGATTTCGAACTCAATGCCTTTGCGCACAAGGCTATATGGAACGCGGATGAGAGCCGGATCGAAATGCACCTGGAAAGCCTGACCGAACAGTCGGTCACGATCGGCGCGGATACCATCGCTTTCCAGAAGCACGAAACGATCCACACCGAAAATTCCCACAAATACGACGAAGAGGCTTTTTCAGAGATTGCGAACCAGAGCGGCTGGAGAGTCCTGGATCAACATTGCGATGCGCAATCCTGGTTCTCCGTCTACATCCTTCAGTCCGGATAAAGCTGATCAGGCGACCACTGCCCGGATCAACCTGACTGGTTGGGTTCGGGCAGGTTCCATCCCGATCCGTGACCGGCGATCGCAAGACGCAGGGCAAGCCCGGTGCAAAGGCCAGGAGAAACCACGAAACCGGCAACCCGGCCTTGAAAAGCCGATTGGGTCAAAACGAGTTTGGCGTCCGATCCAGACGCAAACCCGGATGCGACCGAAGCGACAAGGAAAGTTCAAGTCCAGGAAGGATCGAATTTGTTTGAAGTCAAGACGGCCGCATGCGACTGCCCTGAGGATCGAACAGCGGACCAATGGTGACAGTTGCCTTGAACAATGACCCGGCAATGTCGACATCGACCTCAGATCCGGACTCTAGCGACCGCTCCACGTGCGCCAGGGCAATCGGCCGTCCGATACGGTAGCCGTAAGCACATGTCGTCGTTTGCCCCAAAACCTCCCCATCGAGCAGCAAAGGCTCGTGTCCGAGCGGAACCGCAGCCTCGTCCTCGAACGCGAGTGAAACCACCTTCGATACGCCACCACCTGCCTTGTGTTTCGCGATGGCGCCAGCGCCGATGAAACCACCCGACTTCCGGGTCATTGCATCAAGACCGGCCTCCACCGGTGTCACATCGCTGTCAAGTTCGTGTCCCATCGCGCAGAACCCTTTCTCGACACGCATCGATGTCTGTGCAAACAAGCCCGCCGGTTCGGCACCGGCATTCGTCAGCGCCGCGTAGATTGACCTGGCGTTTTCAGACCGGCAGGTTATCTCCCACCCCGCTTCCCCGACATAGGACAACCTTGCAGCCCGCACATGATGACCTGCGATATGTGCTTCGGCGTGTTTGAAATACCCGATATCGTTGAGTTCGGGCGCGCCGACTTCTGCCGCAATACGGGCACTCTCCGGTCCCATGAGACCAAGAACGGCGTAGGTTTGGGTAGTGTCGGTGAGTGACACATCGAAGTCCGCGGAGTGTCTCCGGAGCCAGGCCAGGTCCTTCCTAATCGCGTTGGTTCCGACAAAGAGACGATAATGGGCATCCGAAAGGCGCTGAACGGTAATGTCGCTTTCGAATGTGCCGCGTTCGTTGAGGATCGCGGTATAGATGACCGACCCCGCACGGCGACCAACATATCCTGCACAGACCCTTAACAGGAATGCTTCTGCATCCGGGCCCTCGATCTCAATCTTGCCGAAGGGTGACGCATCGAAAATGGCGGCAGTCTCGTGCGCTGCCATCACCTCCTGCCTGACATTTTCAAACCAGTCCGGCCGACCGAATTTCAGTTCAGGTTCCTGCTCCTTGCCGAAATACAGCGGCCGTTCCCATCCGAAGAACTGACCGAAATGGGCTTTTGCCTCTGTGTATTCACTGTCGAGCGGCAATCTCCTCAGTTTGCGGGCCGTCTTGAACTGCTTGCCGGGATAGGCAATGTCGTAATGGGTCCCTAGAACCTCCGGCGCGCGCGCCATCAGATGTTCGACAGAATTGAAGACCGGTGCGAAGCGCTTGGCATCGGCTTCGGAAAGATCATATGACGGCGCTCCGTGAATGATCGTGTGGGCGAGGTTCATTCCCGCGCCTCCCCCGGCGGCAACGCCCACCGAATTCATGCCACATCCCAGGAAAAGGCCTCGGGTTTCCGCGGCCTCACCCAGCATGAATGTCCCGTCCGGCGTGAAACTCTCCGGGCCATTCAGGAGCATCTTCACTTCGGCGGTCTCCAGTGCCGGCAACCGGTGAAGTGCGTTCATCATCATCGGCTCGAAATGATCCCAATCCTCAGGAAGCAGGCCGAATTCGAAACTCTCCGTCAGGACACCGGGTGCGATCGGTTTGCCCATCGGCTCAAAACAGCCAACCAGCAGGCCGCCGCTGTCATCGCGGATATAAAGATGATTGTCATGATCACTGAGGGTCGGTGTGTTACCGACTATTCCGTCGACCGGCTTTGTCAGAAGATAGAAATGTTCACAGGCAAGCAGAGGCACTTCAGCTCCCGCCATGGCACCGGCTTCACGTGACCAGAGGCCGGCACACAAGGCAATGGCATCACACATCACCGTACCGTTGACTGTTTCCACGCCTTTGACCTTGCCGTTCTCCGTCAGGATTGCCGTCACCCCGGTCTTTTCGAAAATCTTTGCGCCCAGCGATCTGGCGCCTTTCACGAGAGCGGCGCAAACGTCTGAAGGACTCACGCGCCCGTCATCCGGCGACCAGACTGCGCCAAGGACATCGTCCGCGTTCATCA